TTATGAAGTGGGCAGCCAATTACAATGGAAAGTAAGAATGAAAATTCTTAGATTTTACATTACTAAATGTCATGTCTATGGCCGGTATTCATAGTCGGTTCGTATTTCAAGACCGTCTTAAGACGCTGCGGCTCTCTGATTGATTCGTGATGATACCTCAAGACAGAACTTAAAATATTTTGAATATAAGAACTGACTATGAATACTGGCTTATAAGTCTCGTTACATTTATTTCTTTAAACATTATTTGATTTTAGGTTCCCGATAGCTGATATGAGGATATATACAATGATATAGATAATGAAATCAATAGCGATAATGACGATTAGACGATACGGATATTCATTATCATTGTTCAAAAGGTATTCAGTAAGCGTTATTCGCATTCATCGCAGTATCGTATAATCCAGTGTTAAAGATGGATTTGCCTATTCATCATTTACATAAAACAGATTTATTCAACGTACACGTAATATTATTAGATGGAATTTTTCGAGATTTCATTTCGCAACATTATGAAGTTAAAAGAATTGCAGATTGGAAAACATTGATATTCATTTAGGTGTTAATTTCGGTCATTGTTGCATGTCCTATATCGAAAATGTATACATATACATTTTATTCAATGACACTACGTCAAATCAACATATTTTTTAATACTGGTAAAGCTGATTGATCGTGAATAGCCCGTTGAAAGAATTGAAAGAGAAAATTGTTGATCATGATTTTAAATAGAAATTAAGCATAATACGAATTTGTATATATTGTTTGATAACATATTGGTGTTTTGAGGAGCAGTAACGATTTCGCACTGCCCGAATATAATATTCACAAACAGATGGTACGAAATACAAAATATAAAATAAAATGATAGTAAATAATAATTTATTTAAAGTAAATAATTATAATTTATTTAAAGTAAATAATTATAATTTATTCGATAGTAAATAATTATAATTTATTCGAAAGGGCAAATTGAGTGTACTAAAAATGTAAAGAAATTAAAATGAAAACAAATTTCTGAGAAAATTGCAATTGAAGTTGGGAATCCGATTAGCTGTAAGCTAAGTACTAGAACCTTAGATTGGCAAACAAGAAAGCAGTGTGGCTGAAATTACTAATATACATACATACACACATATATATGAACGTTGTATGACGTCTTTACTTAAAAGACTAACAAAAATTTATTAAATTTATAAAATATAAAATAATTGTAAAATATATATTACCTAAATATATTTTTAAAAAAGATGTTACTCTTGGTAAATTCGCACTTCGTCGGTCGCGATGGTCATGGACGAAAAAATATAATACATGCGCCTCAGCGCTGTCAACTTTCCTGCTTACCATGCAGGGTTCTAATACTTAACATACAGCTCATCAGATCCCAACTTTAACTGCAATTCTCAGAAACTAAGGCCCATTTCTAATCCCTTTACATTCTTAATCAGCACGTAATATTAAACAAATATTTTTTAATATTTATTAAATATTTTTACGTTAAATAAACACGTAAATAAAAAATTTAAATAAAAAACGTTTTAAAAAACGTTTTAAAAATGTTGTCTGCTGATTCGGTTATTAGTACATTTAATCTTCCTTTTGAATAAATGATAATATTTTATTTGATTCCGTACCATCTCTTTGTCAATCTAATTTCCATTCATATCCATTTGTATCCCAAAGTGAACGTATTCCGTCTCGATCCATCAAACAATTGTCAAATATAGACGTAAATAGTTATAGTATAATAGCAATAATGGAATTATGTATTTTAAGTATATAATAGCTCACAGTTTTCTTTTATACAACGTATTTTTTTAGTGCAGCAACTTTTGTACGATTTTGCAAAGCCGAATTTCAGATGCGAATTTTTTTATAAATATTTCATGGATTTTAGTTTCCTCGATCACACACAGTCGCCTTCACATTTGCGCAAATACCAGTCACATTTGCAGCCACGAATAACTGTTATTCAATGTCGTTTTTCAAACTGATTGTCAAACTAATCCATTTGCATGGAAGGCTCTCAAAACGCGAAAAAAAAATCTATTCACAAAAATGTGGTAATATATTTTACAAACTGACACACAACTGTGTGCATTATAAATTATTTTTATATACATTTTACCAATAAAAGAATATGAAGGATACTGTCCAAAATATTAAAAAAAAAACTCGAGATTAATGAATATATTTTTTTATATCCGGAAGAATTTTCTTATAATTTTTACGATATAACTTATGTATTGGTTTCAACGGTCAATCTGTAAATTACGGCGATCAGTAAATAGTACAGACACAGTATATACATTGACCGTTAAACAAACATATGATTTATGCCAACGCTGTTACGTCATTGTAATTTTACAATAAATAATTGTACAAATTCATCCAATGTAATTTTTCTTTTTGAAAATTAGCGTCGAACACGGAAGACAAAACTTATTTGTGAAAAGTATTGTGAAAAGTACAAATACAGAGATCTCTTGTAATATTAAAAAAATACAGTATGGTCTCGGTATTGTTGTCTATTACATGTGACAATAAGAATAACGAGGAAAAGGAAAATTGTAACATTGATATGAATTGCACCAAATTATCATGAACGATCGACAGGCAACGTTCATGCGTTTCGTCTTCCAATTAGTTCAAAGTATCTCTTGTCAAAAACATAGTGACTTTTTAAGTATGTATCTATACAAATATATGATACAGTTTTAACACTAATTTCGAGTGGCATGATAAAAATACTCTCGGTGATTTGCTATTATCGAGAGGTAGTGATCGAATAAAAATTTGATTTTTCTCTCTCTAATGGTAGAAAAATTGAATTTGTGAATTAATATACAGTGGGTTGCCAAAATATTAGGGACAGTGCAATTTTTCTGTTATTTTTATATTGTTACGTCCAAGATTTCGCACGCATGGAACCTGAGGGGGTGGTTGTAACAGGTGACTTGTCCGTCGTTGTCGGATCCTAACTCCGGACCGCAAGGGAGCGAGGTGGGAAAACCGACTCGGACGGGAGGCACTTCGCTTCGTCCTTAGGCTCTCGAAGAGCCGGGGGTTTGAAGGGGGACGAAATGGAAGCCTCGCTCGAGGTCGTCGCTCCGTTGAGCGGCTCCCCGGGGCGGACGCACATGCTAAAGGCCGGGAAATGGGTCAGTGTGCCTTAGGGACACTATCCCATATGGGCCACCAGTACGTCCGAATGCCTTTATTTTCGGCCTTGGAAATGAATCCAAAGGGCCGGGGATTGGACCAAGTGCAATCGTGGTAGTAGGTTATGAATACAAGGAGATGTTTCTCAATAATAAAACAATCAGGGTTAATAGTTACGTGATATAATTAAAATTATTAATTGTGATTACATTAGATGTATAAATGTCTATATATATATATGTTTTAATAATAATATAGTTGGGTGTGTGTGTGTGTGTGTGTGAGAGATAATTTGGATTTAAGGAGGAAGTGAATATTCGAAGAAAGGAGTCAGATTTTCGGCTGGGATGATAAAAGGATGTGGGCAATTTTCTAGGTATACTATTGCAGGTTGGAAGTTGTTGGGAGGGGCAGTCACCCAAAAGTCGAGGAGGTCTTCTATGGAGGTAACGTAATGGAAGGTCTGAGATGGGAAAGGGGTAGGTTGATCAGGGAGGGTCAGCAATTCGGGATCGAAATCGGAGTGAGGAGCTGGGTGTTGTGGAGCGGGAGTCTCATTAGGTGAGATAGGTAGGGG